TTGGCCTTGGAAATTCGGACACGTTTTTCTCTTTTTTTGGCCCAAAGTCAAATATTTGGGTCTATCAATATCAATTTGTCAAAAAAATAGAGCTTGCCTTTCGCCTCACTCAAATTTGAATTCTCCGTTTCCAAATTGAGGGAATCACGAGAAAAGAAAAAAAGAAGAAAGCTTTTTTTTTTTAATTTAAATATCTAAATACAAAGAATCAAGTTTAATTCAAGAAATATTTCAATGGTTAAGAATTTAAGGTTTTATGATAAAAATTTTAAATTTAAATTGAAAAAAATAACTAAATTTGTTATATAACTTATCATCTGACGTACCAATAAAAAAAAAAAACAATGAATGAAATTAAACATTAATATTCTTTAGTTTAATTTCTGTACGTTACTAATGATTTATTGATTTAAATAAAAAAAATTTGATTTTTTTTAATTAAAATTTTAAATTTGAATCTTATAAATGGAATAACTGGTACTGAAAGAACTCCAAACTAGTATAGTTTTTGAATACTGAACGTTAGTAAAAAAAAAAAAATCCCTATGTGTTTTGTGTTGATAAAAAGAAGAAGAAGAAGAAGTTATTAAACATTAATACTCATGCCATTTGCATGATTAAAAAACAAAACTAATACAACTAAGTCTTTTTCATTTCTTTCACTAATGCATCTCACATTCCCCTCCCACCCACATACATGTTATATTGTTTTATGATTTAAAGGCATGCATCAAAGCTTCGAACTTGGAACGAAAGAGGCAATTTAGATGATTATCATCATTATTGGCAAAAGGCAAACAATCTATAATATAATGGAATTCAAAAATATTAATTGGGATAAGATAAGAAAAGAACAAAAGGGACGGTCTAGAAATGTGGCTGCTTTCTTTGCGAGGATTCTGGTGTTTTTATTAATAAAATAAATATTCATCCTGTCTTGTATGAGGTTTGATGCGATGATATATATATATATACTATTATTTCTAATACTACTACTCCACTCTCGAACAAATACTAACAAAATTTGTCTGGTATGAGTAGTAGTACTTAATTGAGAACAGGAGGTAATCAAATAGTGTCCCAACCTAATTGGTTTAAAGATAATTTTAATTAAATGAAACAAAATATTTTAAATTTAAATACTAAGTAAATTTATGGGTAAGATGGATAAAAGTTGTTTTTTTATCATGCAGAAATTAAAACAAAAAGAGAGAGAGAGAGAGTGACAGGTATTAAACTCCACTTTCACTCAAATAAATAAATATTTTTTATTTTAATTGTATAATGAGAGACAATCATGTTTTATCCCTTATCTCACCTCTCTCATAAGTTATGCGATTTAAATTCAGAATCTCTTATTTTTAGTAAAAAGGAATGATCACTAAACTATTTAGATTATGACAAACAAATAATACTTCTGTTCCTATAATATGTATTAGTATAGTATATGTAAGCAAACAAATGACTTAAATTTAAAAAAAAAAAATAGTTTTAAAATATCACCAAATGACCTAATATAACACCATGCATGATTAATTACTAAACCAAAAACTGAAGGTCCAAAAGGCTAGTCCCCGTGCCCTGCGCCCCGTGCCCTGCGCCCCGTGCCCTGCGCCCTGCTTCCTTCCCTCTTTTCGTAATAAGAAAAGAATAAACAATGTAAATTTGTTCCCTTAAGTTTGTGTCTATCTTAGTAGAAAATTAATTTGATTCAACATTTCAAGGATATGGCTATCCTAGCCTAGGGATTCTTCTCTTTCTCTCATACTCATCTCATCTTAATTAATTAATTAATTTAATTAA